CAATTCCACTTTCTGCCCCCACCCCCTCACCTCCTTTGCCCCCTCCTCTGGGCTCCTGACTCTTTCTGCAGCCTTTCTACTGCTACTCCTTGGCTCCTCCCTACTGCTGTCTTTCTGCCACACTCCTGATCTTCTGGTAGGAAAGATCTACACATAGCTTTCTCGTACAAGGGCGACAAATCTCGGAGGGCCCGTGTGCATGTTGCGCACGTTAAAGATCCCTTGGTGGTCTAAAATCGATTTGAGTAGGCTTCGGCCGCCACCCGGGCAAAATTCAAAATTTCCTACCAACTGAAAATATTAGGTGTGTCCCGCGCGCTCATAAGACCTAATGCAGTTGCGAGCGCCGTAAAACACTTTACAAAAACAAACGAAACAAGTAGACCGTGGCCAACCAGGCAGATAGTCAAGTGGGCATGGCTCCCGGTACGTCCTTAACATTCTCTGAAAGAGTTTTCATGACACCTATTATTCTACATTATTGCTATTATTATGGTTACTACTTTTTATGTTATCATAATGTGTATTTATTTGAAATTATTATTATTATTATTATTATTATTATTATTATTATTATTATTATTATTATTATTATTATTATTATTAATATTTTTATTGTTGTTGTTGTTGTTATTATTATTATTATTATTATTATTATTATTATCATCATCATTATTATTATCCTTGCTATTATTATCATCATCATTATTATTATTATTATTATTTTATTGTTGTTGCTGTTATCGTTGTTGTTATTGGTTTCGTTGTTATTATTATTTTTACATTTTGTAACTACTGTTATCATTTTTCATGTATTTATATTATTGCAATTATTAATGTTAAATTATTATTATTACTATTATATGATTATTATGTATATTATCATTATTATTATTATCATTATTATCGATATCATTATTATCATATTTTTATTATTAGACTATTATTATCTTTTTAGTATTATTATTTTTATTGTTATCATCATCATTGTTATTATGATTATTTTCATATTATAGAAGGTATAGGTGGAGAAAGAGAGAAAGACAGAGGTCTTCTGCGTGCAAGGGCAAAGTTGCTTACAGCTACACCACACATGCCAGTTTTGTAGAACGTTTAGCGTTAACTAAACAGCAGCAACAATGATAGCAACAGCAGCAGCAGCTGCAACAGCAGCAGCAACAACAAAAACAATGACAACGACAACAACAACAATAACAACAACAACAACAAAAACAAAGAAAAAAAACAGACGTCCCTGACTTAAAACTTAACAAAGACACGTTCTCTGCTCTCTCACATAAAAGTAAAAACAAACAAAAATTAATGCTGTTAGCGCCCCCTGGTGTCGTACTCAACTGCGTTTGGAAATGGTCCTGGTTTGAACCTTTGCGTAGGCACAGTTTGCAATAGCAATAACATACAATCGTGAACAAAGGAGAAAAACGACCACCATACCTGAGATGACCGGTCCGCAGTCAGCATTTGCTGCAGGAAAGAAGAAAAAGAAAATAAGTTATAAATACAGCGGGATAACGTCAATTGTGAGGCAGCGTGGTGGAATCAGGCTCTCGTCAATGTTTGGGCATGTAGAGCTATTGGTACCATCTTAAAGCTTGTTCACTTGTCTTTATTAGAATGAAAAAAAGATCCATTTATCCTGAAGACAAGTCGAGATATTTGCGAAAGGAAGTGGGGGTCACTTGTTTTCAGAGGTAAAATTAGTGAGAAAATGGCCGCCAAAGGTTAGTTATTTCCTTAACTTAACAGTCCGTGGTAACTGAAAATTTAAATTTTCTGTGCCTTTAATCAACGTTTATCAGAAAAATCCACACACAGAAATGAGTTCTTTAATGCTCATGAAAGGTGTTGAGATGACAAACAAAAATTTGATTAAAATTCACAAACCTGCGGGAAAAAGCAAGTTTCTCATTTTGATTATTTTGACGAGAGCCTGATTCCACCACGCTGCCTCACATATACAGGCGGCATTCTGTCATACAAGCCAAGTAACCACAAACATGAGCAGGAAATTACAAAATACCACAATGTATAAGACACTCCTCCTCCCCCCCCCAAAAAAAAAAAAAAAAATTCAAAAAAAATTCAAGAAAACAATTGTGAGGCAGCGTGGTGGAATCAGGCTCTCGTCAAAATAATCAAAGTGAAGAAACTTGCATTTTCAGGAAGGTTTGTGAACTTTTATCAAATTTTTGTTTTTTGGCTCAACACCTTTCATACCCAAAAAAGAACTCATTTCTATGTGGATTTTTCTGAGAAAAGTTGATTAAAGGCACAAAAAATGTAAATTTTCGGTTACCACGGACTCTTAAGCTAAGGATATCCAATCTTTGTCGGCCATTTTCTCATTAATTTCACCTCTGAAAACAGGTGACCCCCACCTCCTTTATTCTCAAATATCTCCACTTGTATTCAAGATAAACGGACATTTTTTTTCATCAAAATAAAGATACAATTGAACAAGCTTTAAGATGATACCAATAACTCTACATGTCCAAAAATTGACGAGAGCCTGATTCCACCACGCTGCTTCACAATTGTGAAATATACAAGAATAAAATTACTACAAAAAAGAAAAGATTCTTTGATTGATTTTGTCTTGTAGGGGCAGGAACGCTTCTACCATTCAAGAAAAAGGCTACCCTTATTTCTATTTAGCTCACCTTCACCTAGTTTTATAAGGGAAACTGAAAGTCGGATTGTGAAAACAGTAGGTGAGTCGAGCATACTGATATGATGATGATGATGATGATGATGATGATGATGATGATGATGATGATGATGATGATGATGATGATGATAATGATGATGATGATGATGATGATGATGATGATGATGATAATGATGATGATGATGATGATGATGATGATGATGATGATAATGATGATGATGATTATTATCATTATTATTATTATTATTATTA